CCATAAACTATCAATTTCAATAAGTACATGATCTCTGAACCATAAACATCATGTCAATACGGACACAATCTCTGAACCATAAACTATCAATGTCAAAAAGGACATGATCTCTGAACCATAAACTATAAATGTCAATACGGACATTATCTCTGAACCTTAAACTATCAATGTCAATACGGACATGATCTCTGAACCATAAACTATCAATGTCAATAAGGACATGATCTCTGAACCATAAACATCATGTCAATACGGACACAATCTCTGAACCATAAACTATCAATGTCAATGAGGACATGATCTCTGAACCATAAACTATCACTGTCAATAAGGACATGATTTCTGAACCATAAACTATCAATGTCAATCAGGACACAATCTCTGAACCATAAACTATCAATATCAATCCGGACACGATCTCTGAACCATAAACTATCAATGTCAATACGGACACGATCTCTGAACCATAAACTATCAATGTCATTAAGGACATGATTCCTGACACCATAAACTATCAATTTCAATAAGGACATGATCTCTGAACCATAAAATATCAATGTCAATAAGTACATGATCTCTGAACCATAAACTATCAATGTCAATAAGGACATGATCTCTGAACCATAAACTATCAATGTCAATACGGACACAATCTCTGAACCATAAACTATCAATGTCGACAATACGGACATGATCTCTGAACCAAAAATTATCTATATCAATCCGGACACGATCTCTGAACCATTAACTATCAATATCAATACGGACACGATCTCTGAACCATAAACTATCAATGTCAATCCGGACACAATCTCTGAACCATAAACTATTCAATATCAATTTGGACATGATCTCTGAACCATAAACTATCAATATCAATACGGACATGATCTCTGAACCATAAACTTTCAATGTCAATACGGACATTATCTCTGAACCATAAACTACCAATGTCAATACGGACATGATCTCTGAACCATAAACTATCAATGTCAATCCGGACACAATCTCTGAACCATAAACTATCAATGTCAATACGGACATGATCTCTGAAACATAGACTATCAATATCCACACGGACATGATCTCTGAACCATAAACTATCAATGTCAATAAAGACACAATTTATCTAAACAATGTCCAATCTGTGTCTATCGTTTAAGAAGTGATTTCAGGGCGTTTCTCGTTCGCTAGACTATAGGAACAATTACTCTCACTTGGTAATAGTTCAAGAGTCTATTCTAACTAAAGGTATTTGGGGTTCTATGTTATAAATTAAAGTTAATTGATGTAATTACAAGTTTTACATCGATATGTACAACATACTTAAGCTAATCATGTTAAGTAGTTATTTACAGCGCAGTTGAGATAAATTATTATATGGATTTTACATAGCTATTTACAAACGTAAATAATTAACAATATACAACGTAATTCAGGTTTACAGATATTGTGTTACATATTTATCGGAAAAATCTAATTATTTGCACATTTACAACTCTGAAAACATGATTTTTAAATATAGTTTTGATTCCAGAACTCAAAAATATTTGTTACGAAACTTAATTGATTTTACATTGTTTAAAACCTGAAAAAGGTTGATTTTTATGTAAATTAAAATGTTTAAAAGTTGAGTCAAAAACCTCCATAAGAATTGTGTAAAAGTTGAAAAAATTACATATCTCTTCATTCACATGAGGCAACAAGGTTTACATTGCCTTGGCAATGTAATATTCCCATCTATATTTATTGCATCCCTATTCCCTATTGCCTCCCAGTAAGGAAGAGTTACATATTTATTTTAAACAGCAAATTTTTGGAGGCACGGAAAACGGCAAATAGACTAATGTGCACGGGCAACGTCAGATACTTCTGCTATAATCTCAATATTTCAGTATTAAAAGTACGTATTCATTTTCAAAAACTATCAGACCACGTTGAAGAAAAGCTCCACAGCTGATCAGAATTACAGATTATTTCCGTTAATCATCCAAATCACTGCACAATTATTATCTATGCAAAAGTAACCTAATTCATGAAAAAAGTCTGCGGAAACATTTTCAAACATATGTTATAAAGTAAAAATTGATGGTAACTTCATTTTTAATATCTTTATCGTACTTATTATATAGAATATATATATAACAATTTCATCTAAGAAATTTGCAAAATAATATCTATATTTAAAAAGCTCATATATATATATAGTTTCGTAGATATATATCCAAACAAATGGACCAAAGGAAATAAGTCCTTGCCACAAACTCAAATTGTCTTATCTTTATATCTTTACAAACTGATGGTAACCTCAGATATTCCAAGTTTAGATTATTTGGTCGAACAAAATTCATAGTTTGAATTTTTAAGGTATACTATATTGGATTAGAAAATCGGAAATTGTACCAAAGACTCAAAAAAAATTTATTTCTCAAAATTAGATTTTTGTGAAAAATTCGAAGAAAATAATTTCAAGTGTTTTTTTAATTCCACAGGCAACGACGGGCACTAGTACTTTATATTTTTTTCTCATTATTTTAAAGTGTTGAAAATCGGCTTTTCACATAAATAATTAGACAAGGCGTTATGAAGGTGCTAAATCGTAAACGTAACCTCGGATGAAATGGACTACCACATATGCCATTCATGCAATTTATTAAGGCATTTCAACTACAGACCAGCAATATGTAAAAGAACAGACCTCAAAGGGACTGTCTTCAACTACAGACCAGCCATAAGTAAAAGAACAGACCTCAAAGGGACTGTCTTCAACTACAGACCAGCCATAAGTAAAAGAACAGACCTCAAAGGGACTGTCTTCAACTACAGACCAGCCATAAGTAAAAGAACAGACCTCAAAGGGACTGTCTTCAANCTGAAAACTAATATCTAGGTGTATTCTGAAAACTAATATCTAGGTGCAGTCTGAAAACTAATATCTAGGTGTATTCTGAAAACTAATATCTAGGTGCAGTCTGAAAAATTAACAGTAATAATGTTAGGACACTTTTTTCAAATCACATTGCTAAAAACTTCTAGAATTACCTAAAAATGTCTTTTTATTAAGATGTAAAACGAATAGACAAAAGACAGAAAAAAATTTACAGAAATGTAATATTTTGTGCAGTTTATGTTTATGTTTATAATAATTATTGATTTTACAAAAAGAGAAATTAAACAGTAGAAAAACATCTTTTCTTTTAGAAATTTGACAATTTAAATATATTATTGATTACAAAATAACCAAGTGTATTCAAAAGTATTCAGCAATTAAAACAACAAAAAACATGCTAACGAAAAGAGATGCGTATTTACAGACGAAATTTAAGGTTGAAAATTCAAAAAACATACAAAAATATTAAACATTTCAACTCCGTTATACAAGGGCTTTCATTTAAGATGTTTTATAATCTAACTTTCCAGGAAAGATTACTATTTATTTCAGAAAAATGTATTTTTTACAAAATTTTTAAGTTTTTAACACGAGTTTTGTACAATTTATTTATAATTTGTTAAAAAGAAACCTCTATTGGTATTGCGCGGGTACTACAACTATTAAGCTGTAAGTCATTTTTGCATTGTCATTTTTGCATTTTGTCATTTTTGCATTGTCATTTTTGCATTGTCATTTTTGCATTGTCATTTTTGCATTGTCATTTTTGCATTTTTGTCATTTTTGCTATATGCCTTAATGTTTGGCCCTTTTGTAGCCTGTTTAGCTTCGGAAGGCCTAACCTAACCCTTTAAAAAGTGAGAATTTTTTTCATTATTTACATACATCACGAACCAGAAATATATGCTATAGAAAAAAAACCTGCTCAAGTTTTGATTTTAGAAAGCCCAATTAAAACACAATCAATTGTGCACTGTACACAGAACATTTCACATTATAAATTATTGTTCAGCTATATTTTAAAACTATTTGGTATTGCTTTAAAGGGAGTGACTGGCAATGTTTGGTAGTTGAACTGAGAATGCAGTTTTGTAAAGATTTTTTTAGGATTCATTTGAGACCTATCAAACGTTTATACGGTGCACATTAGTTCAGCAACGAGATAAATTCAGTTTTTAAATCCTCCTTTATTGTCCATTCTGGAGAGATGATATTAAGAATTCTTTTGTCTTTTTAATAAGTCAATTTGTGACAAAAATGCGAAAGTAAACTAATTGGATGTTTATGGTCAGATTGAGAAAATAAAAATAAACTCTATTCATCGAAAATAACTAATCTTATTATTTTATTTCTTTATGTAATGTCTCATTGTTCACAAACATTTATGTAGGTTTTTATGCAATTGCTATTGAAAAGACCACATTTGAAGAATTTAAAGAAATCTAACAAATTTGTAAAGAATAAGAAATTCAATATGATGATTAAAAGAAAATAATTAATTCTAGCATCGATAAGATCTATTTATTGACATTTTTCTATTGAGAAATATGCTCCCAGGCATCCAATTAGTTTATTGTAGAATTTTTGTTACATTTTTGTCGTTTTTATTTAATAATTTCAAAAAATCGATTCTCAAAACGTAACCACCCAAATTGATGATTTTGAAAGTCGACTTTGCGCTCAAACTCAGGCGTTATTACATCATTGAAACGTTTTTTATGTATCAAATGAATCCTAAAAAATTCTCCGTAAAACTACATTCTCAGTTTAACTACCATACATTGCCGGTCGCACCCTTAAATGTTGTGTATCTATTCCACCGTTTTTTTGTTCTCTCTGTATGTTTAAAAAGAAAAAGTATCACACAGCAAAAATGACGTTTTCTATGTGTATAATTTTACAGGGAAAATGAGAATAGCGGAATAAAGTCGGATTTGGCCGATGAACTCCTCTCTCCCTCACAAAAAAGTGTATAAATTATATATTATTAAATAATTATATAATGATCTTCAAGTTGTTAAAGGCTTAGCTAGCAATATAAAATATATTCACGGTAATTTTAACCAGCTGTTTATCAGTCGGATGCTTCAATGATCATTCGGTTCTTGAATCTCCAGCAGATAGGACAGATTACAGGTAGGACGGATTACAGGTAGGACTGATTATAAGTAGGGCGGATTACAGGTAGGACTGATTATAAGTAGGACAGATTACAGGTAGAACGGATCACAGATAGGACGAATTATAGATACGTCAGGTTACAGATAGGAGGAAATACAGAAAGGACGAATTACAGGAAGGCCGGATTTCAGATAGGACGGATTACAGATAGGACGGATTACAGATAGGACGGATTACAGATAGGACGGATTACAGATAGGACGGATACCAGATAGGATGGTTGCAGGTAGGAAGAATTAAAGAAAGGACAGATTACACTATTTACAAGGTAAATGGATTACAGTTAGGACGAATTAAAGGTAGGACGAATTACAGTTAGGACAGATTACAGGTAGGACGAATTACAGTTAGAACAGATTACAGGTAGGACGAATTACAGTTAGGACAGATTACAGGTAGGACAGATTACAGGTAGAACGGCTTACAAGAAGGACGAATTATAGGTAGGACAGATTACAGATATATCAGATAACAGGTAAGTCAGAATAGGACAAGGCATGTTTTAGACGTAGGATATATCAGATAAAAAATATGTCGAATTATTTAATTACTTTTAAAACCAGAAAAAAGAAAATATATTCCACATTATTGATTGGATAAAGGTGAGATGGGTACCGTTGTGAATCGGGCATTGCCGACTTTGTATGAAGGGTCACTTGAAATTACGCTTACAGTGCCTTTTATCAAAATTTTAGATTTATCTCTTTTCAGGCAAAATGGAAGATTCTAAGCTATCAGGGATGAAAAAACAATTAGAAGAGCTTGAACTTGGAGTTCGTCAAACCCAGGTTAAACATTATACAGTAGAGACCTTTTCAACAAGGTCACGTCACACGTAACTAAAACTTTTGTATTTCTAGCTGCAGTCTAGCAAATAATAAACTTTAAAATTAATCAGTTTTACAATTATTTGATAAACCGGAAGAAAAACGTAATAAAACGTTTATCCAATCAACTTTTTCTTTAATGTTCCAAAACGTTATCCTTACATTTCCTGAAATTTCATTGCAAAGACGACATTTGAATAAGTCTGCAAAACAATTTAAAATATAGTACAACTTTATTCTGGTTCCTTAACAACAAATAAATGTAAATTCTGCGGAGCATCCCTTCTGGTAAAATTTTTACAAAAGAATTTACGCTCTAACTTTAAAATCATCACAGTAAAAAAGTCTCATCGGTATCAAATGAATCCAACATTTTTTCTCTATAATAAACTGCACTTTCAGCTAACTACCGTGTTTAGCCAGACACTCCCTTTAAGAGTTTTCTTGAAATTCAGATTGAACAGTTAAGCTTGATCAAGGAGTTAAATGTCGACGATATCTCCAGCAAACTAGATCGGGTACACAACAGTCAAGATCAGGTTAGAAATCCAACAGTCAAGATCAGGTTAGAAATCGAACAGTCAAGATCAGGTTAGAAATCCAACAGTCAAGATTAGGTTAGAAATCAAACAATCAAGATCAGATTAGAAATCCAAAAGTCAAGATCAGATTAGAAATCCAACAGTCAAGATTAGGTTAGAAATCCAACAGTCAAGATTAGGTTAGAAATCCAAAGTCAAGATTAGGTCAGAAATCCAACAGTCAAGATCAGGTTAGAAATGCAAAAGTCAAGAGTAGGTTAGAAATCATTAAAAAATTGAGAAGATACAGTGAGACCCATAAAACTGTGGAAAAGAAAGATGACATTTGCTAAATCTTCTGTTTATTTGATGTGATGTTGTGCTAATGCATGGTTTGAAATATAAATATTAATTGCTTAATTTGCTGTGTTCAATGAACTATTTGAAATCATAACTAGGGTTATGATACCCTCTGTAGTTTAGTTGAACTAGAAATGTGCTTAGAATTCCAATTTTTATGAAAAAAAAGGATTTTTGCCAGTTTTTTAAAAAACACAGCTTTCCGTAATTGTGATATAATTATTAACTGCTAAAATTATACAGTTAACTTTAAGTACAAAACTGCACATTTTTACATAGATGAATATTTCGGAATTAAGAACATGTCAAATAAAAATGTTTAAAAATGATATATTTCCACTTAGATAATTTTTGTTGATACTTATTGATCCAAAAAACATGAAAGATCGTCTTTAATCTTCAAAAAAATTGGTGGCATTTATATTTCTCTAGTTAAATAATTAAAACAAATACCATTAGTCCGTATATTTCCCAAATGCGTTCTTTTATGTCATGCTTGACGAATAAATGCCGCAAATTATTCCAAAAATTAAATACGATTTTTAAGTTATCCCTCAACTTTTATGTTTTGTAGAACACTCTTTATAAATATTTAATTCTTTTTTATATAAAAGATAATTTTCTATTTTTAAAACGTCATCTGTAGAACATGTTTATAATTAAAAAATTGAAATATTCTTCTTTTTGTCTAAAATTAAAAATACCAATTATTTAAGATATTAAAGTCCCTGAATCAGCTACGTGGTGACCTGATAATAATGACAAGTCGACTCTGTAGAACTGAACACAACTTCCTGGGGAATACTTTGCGAGGTAGGGATCATGCAGGGGAAGTTAGTTCCAAAACGGGATAATTGCCAATTTCTCACGTTTTGGAACTAAGTACCCCTGAACTCATTGGTCAAAAGAGATTTTAAAAAGTGCTTAAAGGGACTGTCGACCTTATTTCGAGTAGCTTTTCGTTTAAAGAGATCCCTTCCCGATTTACAACGGTGCTATTCAAACTTTTTTATAGAGATAATAAAAGATTTCACAATTTTAAGTTAACAATTTTCAACCATGAAAAATAAGGATATCTTCTTTAGTTAAATGAACGACTTGATGAATAACTCAATAAAAGGAGGATCACCTGAACTAACGTTGACGGTGGCCGAATTTTAGCCGCAGCTTAAATTTGAGACGCGGCTCAAATATGGATGGTTCCACTTAAAATTATATTCAATGTTTCAAGATTGAAGCCGGCGCTATTTTCGTTTAAATTTTTCAGCACAAACTAAACAAATGTTTTCATAACATTTTTAGTATTATCATTTTTTTGATATAAAATATGCAAGTTCTAGTCAGATTTTTAATGTTTTGATGATTCATGTTGTTATAGATGTTTTTTTAAACATTTAGTGATAAATCATGTAAATTTGTTTAACAATAAATTTACGTGAGATTTATAATTTTTTCAATGAACGATGTAAAGTTCTTTTTTTACAAAATTTGCCGAGTATTATCATTCTTTATTATGATTTTGTCTAGTTTTACAAAAAATAAATGTTAAAAAAAGGTTTGAATGATCGGTTGATAAGAGAGGATACCTGTGGTCCTGGATATCTATGTGTACTAGAGGCAACACCTTGGCAGATACCCCCTCAACTTCAGGAGGTTGTTACAACTTGCATACCCAAAAAGGGGGCAAAGGCCTTTACACTCCCTCCCCTTTCCGTAAATCAGAAAAAAATCTGGCCTACAAGTTAATTTTTCTGAGAGACGTTAGAGTGTGGATGTAATTTAAATTAACCCTCCCCTTACATACAGACAATTATGGGCAATAGCTTTCTTAGTTTTTTTTTTTCAGTCTCTACGCAGGCATTCCACCGTAATTATTTACTCTGGATCTACAAAATTCATCCCCCCTCTCTCTTTCTTGTAATTCGACGCGGCCTAAACGTAACAGAGTTTGGCCGCTGCCCTTTAAACATTTCAAAATTGTTTATTCAAAACATTTGCTTTCCTTACACAAAAAATGTATGCAAAAAATAGAAGATTCAAAAGCCATCGTATTAAACCGATCGTTTTTATTGTATAGTTTTTTCCTTATATTATTTCTTAATATAAAAAATTTGCAACTTTACTCGGATTTTTAAAATCAAATTTTAATTTTAAAACTAATTAAGATGATAGACGTAAGATTTGAGGGTTTTTTCCTCCTTTACCCCTGGATAAGAGACAAGAAAGCAAGAGATAATATCAAAAATATCTTGAAGGTAACAATTAGTTAATTAAGTAAATATTTAAACAAATAATATGGAATTGTAAATCTTGTGGGGAGACTCTCAACAAAGTTTTGAACTTGTGAATGGGACTGTAGACAATATTTCAAGTGACCCATTTAATCTCTAATTTACAGCGTTCAAGAAATTGTCATTTTATCATTATGAATGATAATTTCTGTCAATTTAATTGTTTGTTTTTGCTGCAAAAATAAAGACAACTCAAGTAACATTACTATCAATATTTAGATATTTCATTTAATCAAAATCGTCTATGAAAAAGTTTGTTATTAATTAAAAATGAAATGATTTGCCTATCCCTGCACTGGTTGACTGTTATCCCTGCACTGGCTGACTCCTATCCCTGGTCTGGTTGACGCCTATCCCTGCACTGGTTGACTCCTATCCCTACACTGGATGACTCCTATCCCTGCACTGGTTGACTCCTATCCCTGCACTGGTTGACTCCTATCCCTGCACTGGTTGACTCCTATCGTAACAGCTTTGTCTAATTAAGTATGAATTAGGTATGAATTATAGATTTTAAAGCTGATTACTTTCAATCGCGGTTTCTCTACAAAAGTGACTTGCCCATTTCTACTGCAGAAAACCATATTTGACTTATCAGAGTTAAAAACTTTCTAGAAAAACGACAATTTCTTCCAAATTAATGATTAGAGAAAGGTTTCAAGAGTACCGTTGCGCATCGGGCCCAGCGCCATCTTTAAATGGAGGGTCACTTGAGATTTCGTTTACAGTCTTTTTAAAGTGCATAAATAGCATTAAATTTATACATTGTTGTTCAGCTAAGTCTGGAAAATGGACCTCAGTTCAGATCAACTGTAAACAAAATTATGTATGAAAAAAGTAATGAATTTCTTGCGTGGAGAGCACAGATTAAAGAAAAGGTAAATTAAATTTTATTCATTACAAGCTGAAGCGCCTGGCTAAAAACATCTAATTTTGAATGAAAAAATATTCTAGTTTTTTTTAGCCTATGTTATATGTAGTATTTTCCACCGTTTTATGAGGTTCACTTCATGATAATTTGATTCAGATGTTCAGTGAATGGGAGAAGGTTCAGAAAATGAATTTCACCGAAGCGGCCATTTTCATCTTTCAGCAGTTCAAGAAACCAAGGTATTCACATTTTAAACAAACTTTAAAAAACTTTTTGTGTACCCATAAATAATGATGTGTCTTCACCGGGGCAAATTTTTTTCTGTATGCGTATCAAAATGATAAAAAATTCTTACTTAAATTTTTTAAAAAAAACGTATTGCATCGATAGAAAAATAATTTTGTTCTTGATTCTTGTATCATTTTGTTAACCGTTTGTTAAAATTCAATTAGATTTTATCAAAATGTTAGAAGATCCTATCAAACCAACATTTCTGTGTGAATGAAATAATATATTCAGTAATTTTTTAATTGCTTAAAAAAAATTCCTCAAATATAGTAAAAAAAGGAAATTGTCAATAGAAAAATAGTTTTTAAAAACATCTGTTTTACGAGAAATCTGAGCATAATTTCACTGAAAATCGTTTTATATATCTTTAGCATCTGGTTTCTATAATAACTGTTTATGAGTCATCAACTCCGTTTAATTCTTTAAAATCCGTACTTCAAGATTCAAGTACAACATTTTTTGATTAAAATCTAATGACATGAGAGCTAGAAGGAGGTATAGAGCATAGTACAGCAGGTTCTAGTACCTGGTAGAGCATAGTACAGCAGGTTCTATTTCCTCTACCTCTTTTCTTTAAAGGAGTTAATACTAAAGTTGTTTTTCGGATTTACAACGGTATCCTTTAAACCAAAGCCAGCTAAAAAACTGAGCTGAGAAATCCTTGTTTGTCTTGTTGAATACAGCAAAGTCGATAAAGAAAATTGTCAGAACCTTTAAAGATAAAAACGAAGAAATCTTACTCATTGTTACTCAATTAATGGTTTAAAGAGTTATTTCGATCTAAGTCATGAATTAAGGGTCACTTAAAAATACCGGTCATGAGATACAGACGGAGACATGTGACAATAATACTGTACTGCCATTGGTGGGAGTTCTGGTCACGTGATACGAACGTAATAATTATATTGTCAAATATATCTATTAAAGATAAAAAATTATTAAATTCAAATAATAATAGGAGTAAACATAAGTCACTCAGGCTCCTCTGGAATATCGTCGTTTTCAGATTGGTTGCGTATTTGCTGAAAAATATTTTTAAACCTACTATTTTTAAACAAAATTTTAAATAAATAGATTTTCGTTTATGATTTACACAATTTTATATCAATTTCTCGAGACAGGAACATCAGAAAGAACTCTTATTGGTCTCGATTAACTCCTAAAATGTTTATGTTTCAGCGTATACCCCATTTCATTTTTCCTTTACAGTTTCTTTAAGTTAGCTCAGGACCGCGGAAAATTTGGACTGACTTTAAGGGGGAAGTAGCCCCCCCCCCCAGCACACAGCAATTGCGCTATTATTGCGCAATTGCGAATGGAAACCCTAATTATTATCCATTGTGAAACTTTTAAAAAGACACAATTAAAAGCTTGAATTATTTATCTCAGAAGACCAGAAGAGGTGCTGTCAACAGAACTCTACGCGGAGCATATGATTGAGGTACAGTATTACCTAAAAAGTGTACACAACCCCTATCCCTCGTACCTTGAGTATGCATACATTAGTTGGATGATTTTAACTACAATCAGAAATTTAAAAAAAGAATTATCACACAGCTCATGTCTTTAATAGCCTCAAATAAAAATGATTTAGGGAAATTAAAAGGATTGCTCGTGCACCCTTTTCAAAGTAAGCAAACACCCCAAATTTTTACAGTAAAAAGTTATGCATAAGCAATGGGATATTTTGCTGGTCAAATTGATCAAAAGGCCACGAGAATATAAATAAATGTTTTAAATTCCAAAAATATCTTTTTAGAATTTAATCGTCTGTGAATTTTTGAAAATGAAATTATGTGCAGAGAGGGCGGTTATTCTGTCCATTTTTTAGGCAAAAAATGCATTTTTATGTTAGTTTAATAAAACAACATTTCACCATAGTAGCAAATTCTAAGATTAAATTTTGTTAATTTCTTTTTAAATATTCAGATGAAAGAAAATTTATATTTTTCAATTTCTTTATTTTCCATTTTAGGTTGGTCAATACCTTATCAGGAAAAGAATACGGAATAGCAGCAAAGAACTAGATAAAAGTGCAGAATTAAAGGTATTGAATCTCAACTGAAAACTTTTTTATAGAAGGAATTATACACAATGTTAATCCCTTTAAGGGAAGATATGCCAAATTTGTAATGGTCAAAATATTGATGATTTAGAATTTAACAAGTGCGATATTATTTAACATAGAAGAAATGTAACGTTTAAAATTGAAATTTAAAATATACTTATTATCATACTGATATAAAACACGAACAGGATATGAACAGTTATATTTATAACTGAATCATTTAGATTTCTAATTTCATTCATACTTCATCTTTGGAAATACTCCCTTTAGTAACATGTACCCTCCTTTATCTTTGAAAATACTCCCTATAATAACATGTACTCTTCTTTAGCTTTGGAAATACTCCTTTTAATAACCTGTACCCTCTTTCGTCTTTTCAGATTAAACCCTTTAATAACATGTACCCTCTTTCATCGTTTCCGAATAAACCTTTTAATAACCTGTACCCTCTTTCATCTTTTCCGAAAAAACATTTTAATAACCTGTACCCTCTCTCATCTTTTCAGAATAAACCCTTTAATAACATGTACCCTCTTTCATCTTTTCTGAATAAACCCTTTAATAACCTGTACCCTCTTTCATCTTTTCCAAATAAACCCTTTAATAACCTGCACCCTCTTTCATCTTTTACAAATAAACCCTTTAATAACCTGTACCATCTTTCATCTTTTCCAAATAAACCCTTTAATAACCTGTACCCTCTTTCATCTTTTCCAAATAAACCCTTTAATAACCTGCACCCTCTTTCATCTTTTCCAAATAAACCCTTTAATAACCTGTACCCTCTTTCATCTTTTCCAAATAAACCCTTTAATAACATGTACCATCTTTCATCTTTTCCGAATAAACCCTTTAATAACATGTACCCTCTTTCATCTTTTCCAAATAAACCCTTTAATAACCTGTACCATCTTTCATCTTTTCCAAATAAACCCTTTTTTTCCTGTACCCTCTTTCATCTTTTCAGAATAAACCCTTTAATAACATGTACCCTCTTTCATCTTTTCCAAATAAACCCTTTAAATTTTTTTTGTTCAGGTAAACACAAGTAAGTTCTGGTATGAAGTGAACAAGAAGGTGACAGATCTTGACCGAAATAAGAGCTCTGATTTTGACCCAACCAAGAGCTCCTATCTTGACCGAACTAGAAGTTTCAATCTTTACCGAAGAAGGAGTTCTGATCTTGAACAACCCAGTAGTTCCGTTTATGATAGAACTAGGAGCTCCAATCTTGACCGAAGCAGGAGTTCCGATCTTGACCGAAGCAGGAGTTCTGATCTAGACCGAACTAGGAGCTCCGATCTTTACCGAACCAGGAATTCCGATCTTGACCGAACTATGAGCTCCGATCTTGACCGAACTATGAGCTCCAATATTGACCGAACTAGGAGCTGGATCAAACCTACGGAGAAGATTATGGAGCTCCTGCCAAAGAACTTAATGGAGAAGATGGACAAAGATTCCCAGTACAATTCTGCGTCTTCTCTTCACAACATTTTGCTGGTATCTCTTAAATTCTTTGCAGTAGAAATATTCATTTTTGATTCAGTTGTTATACTTATCAGCATTTGCACGGTAATGGTTTACTATTGCAGAACAAGTTTAAAATAAAGAGACCTAGGTGATTTTGAAAGTATCGTCCTTGGGTAACCCTGTCATAAATTCCAACATATCTATTTTTAATTTTGTGCAAAAAGTTGACAAGATTATTTTCGAAAGGAATTGATTTATCGCTACAAACTCTAATTTTTCCATCCATGGATACATATTTGCAAAATTATTAATTTTTTAACTATGAATTATTATGATTTCACCTCCAGGCTAGGTAGTGAAGATGTAGAATTTATGTTTGTAGTAAAAATGAGATCTTCTGTCATTGTCTTTGGCGCGGCTAAGGCTGGTTTTTTAAGTCTTCGCAAGGTGAAGTGAATAGTTCATTAAAGTTCCAGCCTCTAATCTCCAACTTTTTTTACAGGAGGAGGATGAAGACGATCTGAAAGCTGACGATCTTGAAGCTGAAGATCTAATAAGATCGACAATTGGAACTGTAGCTGCTAATTAACACTGAAGAAGCTATTGAATCTACATGAAAACAGGGGAGGATCAGTAACATTTTGAAAGCTAATGACAAAACTGTAGTTGATCAATAACATTCAGAAGCTAATGTTATTAGATCGACAACGAAAACTGTAGCAGCTAATTAACACTTTAGAAACAGTAGCTGCTAATTAAAAAGCTTATGATCAAATAAAATCTACATCAAAATAATTGCGAATCCAATAAAATTAGTAGCTGATTAGTAATATTTTGAAAGTTGATGGTCAAATGATCTATTATCAAAACAGTGGCTGATCAATGACATTTAGAAGCTAATGATCAACTGATCTACAGTTAAAATCTTAGCTGGTCAAAAACATTTTAAAAGTTAAATAAAATTTACATCAAAAAAATCGAGGATCATCAACATTATCTGATTAATAACATTTCAGTAGATAATGATCAAATGATCTACAATTAAAACATTATCTGATTAATAAAATTTCGGTAGATAATGATCAAATGATCTACAATCAAAACATTATCTGATTAATAACAATTACAAGCTGATGATCAAATTAAATTCCCAATCAAAACACTTCATTATTATATATAACCAAAACATATATCTACAGTTTGTCCTTCATAACATGAAAATGTTAAGATTTAAAACAATAATTTTTAATATGCAGTAAACAGACTAGTATTGCATGTTAATGTTTTGTTTAAGTCCTGCTAAAGCAATTTTTCCATGTTTAAAGGGACTGTAAGCAATTTTTAAGTGACCCTTCGTACAAAGATGGCAATGCCCGATTTACAACGGTACCCTGGAAACCTTAATCTGAATAAAATGTGGAAGATACAACCATTTTATTTAAATCATTTCTACATTGCTTCTTATAGCAGGGAATGCGCAAATAACTTTCGCAGAGAACCCGCAAATAAAAATAAACATTTTAAAGAAACAAAAGCATTGATATCTAATTTATTTCATGTCTATTATATTGTATGTGTAGCATGTTTGCGTGTTATCAACCTATTTCTTTGTTTAATATTTTTATCAATTAATTAAAAAAATATTAAATTTTCAACATTTGCTTGTTCAGATTTTTTTTATTCTTGCATGTTCAATATGTGCTTGTTGAGCAAAATCATATACAGCAAATTCTTGTTCAGTAAAATCATGTTACGTAAAATCATGTTCACTAAAATCATGTTACGTAAAATCATGTTCACTGAAATCATGTTACGTAAAATCATGTTCACTGAAATCATGTTACGTAAAATCATGTTCACTGAAATCATGTTACGTAAAATCTTATAAAAATATAAGAAATATGATTCGCCAGTCGCCACTGCCTCCTTCTAATGGAAACGAATTCTTGCTGCAAACTCTGATACTTTAATCTCTTTATCTGTGCAGCCTCAAACCGACGTGTGTGGACCTTTGATATTTCAAACTATTAATATTGTTAGATCAAATAGTCTAAGTTTGAAATATCAAATGTTTACACCATCAGATTTCAAAGATGTAGGAATTAATTCAGAGTATGTGACAAGAATTCAGTTCCTTTCGCTACACTTCCTTCAACTTCCATTCGTTTTTCCGCATCAACTCCTTTTTCCCATTTCTTGGTCCTTTCTATTAAAAATATACAGATGTATCATAGACAAAAATGCATTTTTTGAATGTTTAAAAATAAATTCTTCAATATACAGTGAGAGTCCCATAAAACTGTGAAATAGGAATTCGACTGTTAGTCTCTAGACAGATAGTTCAGCAAGTACAATAGAAATGGACCAATTAAACACAAGTGTTAAATATAACAAGAAAAATGATATTTTCTCCTATATATAAGTTGACATGTTTTCCAGGATTAAATAAAAAATTGTAAAAACAGAAAATAAAGAACATATAAAATTGAACTTATTTTACTGTTAGATAAGCACTTAAGTCTAAAATTATCATTTTTATTAATAATTTTGTCGGACATAAAAAGTGAATTGACACTTGTGACGTCAGACGGTCAGAATACAGCTGTACTGAGAGTACAAATTCTACGTAATCTATTGTACTATAGAATCTATTTGGTTTAAGTAAAATTATTTGCTTTAGAGCAAAATAAAATAAACAGAAGATTGCTTAAAAGTCATTTTACAATTTCATAGTGTTATAGGTTCCACTGAATTTACTGTTTTAAATTCTAAATATCTAATATCCTAATAATCATATGTTGAATAATTGTGATTTTCTAAAAATTAATTGTAATTCATTTATTTTAATAAAGGATTAAAACACTTGTTCTTCACTAGTAAACTCAACTATCTAGCTTAAAGTTTAAAACATTTCATTCTTTTACTTTAAGACCATAAACAAGGTTATTAAACTTTAAACTAATTTGCATACAGACATTTCTTGAAATAAACTTTGATCTTTTAATGGAAAGGACTGGTTTAAATTTGGTCAAACTCAAATAATAAAATTTCTTGTATTTAAGATAATAACGATTGACAGTTACTCACTTTTATTATTGTTACTATTGTTCTAGGGGGGGGCTACACCCCCCCCCTTTTACAGGTATAGGGGGCACTGCCCCCCATGCCCCCCTGTATACGCCTTTGGTATACATGTACTTTGTGTGTGTTTAACGTACAAGGTGTTTACTGTGTATGTACAGCAAAGGGTTTGTGAAAAACCATGAATTCTATGATGACTTTGATAAAGCATCTGTCACAAATACTGAATACACTTTTTATAAACTTTCTAACAGTCGGCTCACGCTAACTACGTTGAAATCTCTGAACCAACAAACCAAACCTAGGACTACACATTACTTTCTAATTTATAAATTAAATTGTCTTGGCTGACAACTTTACTGTCTGTGCTGACTACTTTCTTATCTGGGCTGACAACTTTATGGTCCTTATGACTTTACGCAAGCACTCGCATCCCTGGTACGACTTTGCGACCTCTGTAACTCATTTAGTTTTTATTTTCAAAGAACGGAGTTATGCTTTGAGAAATGCAAAAAAACACTTTAGTTTATTGCGGGAAAAAAAGTCGTAAGTTATCATCTGAGCTTAAAACTTTAGAATGTGGATAAATAGATTAATGCTTAATCCTCTCTTTTTCTTAATATCGAGCTAGTCTATCCTAATCTTGTACTTGTATCCTGAAAAGTGTATAAAATTCAACTAATCAGAGTTGCGTATGTGAAGCCGATAAATTTGAAATTTTTCGCGCCATTTAAGATTAATATACAGAAACGGGAGGAATTCTCTAATTTCAAAAACCGGTTTTTGATGTTTCTCTACTATATCCAAGAATGAACGATTTAAGAAGATAATCAAAAGTGTGTCCATAAGATACTCAGATTAAGTAGTCGGGATTAAGGATATCTCATTCTAAAGTTTTCAGCTCTGTAGACTTTTCAATAGACATCTACAGTCCTTTATAGTAGAAATAGACTATAGAGACCATTATAGGCAGTCTCCTTAAGTCTTAGCTGATAATTTTTTTTTATTTCACGAATTTTGTAATAATTTCTAATTCAATACCTATATAATTTATTGGTCCAATCTCTCCTTGCATTTTACGAATAAAGGAGACTTTTAACCAAATCTGATTTTTACAACAATCTATAGTAAATAATTTAACTCTTGAAAATGTTATACCACCGAAAAGTTGGTCGAAGAAGCAATAGTCTGAATTTCCTCCGAATGTCAGAATAACCAAACGGTGCTTCAGCAAAAACTCCATAACGTCACATTTTTCATATTAACCCTTTTACAGATTATAGGTGTATACCTTGCCCAATATAGATAGATAAATAGATAGATAGACAGATAGATAGAGAGATAGATAGATAGATAGATAGATATATAGATATATAGATATATAGATAGATAGATAGATAGATGGATGATAAATAGATACATATATGGATGGATAGATAAATAGATGGATGGATGGATAATAAATAGATAGATCGATAGATTCTTCAAAAGTTAACACTATCAGCTTTGGTTGAGACAAACTTCTATTTTTGCCAAACTTTCTAAACCATCTTTGGTGCATTTTCTACCAAAGATTGACTTGATAGATAGATACTAGCATAGAGAAAGGAAACGAAGAGGTAAAGCTTACCTCAGATGTACACAACCGACCACCCTTGGTATCCATAATTCATATATTATATATTATAAATGTATGAGGAATAATATTTAAAGATTGATTGTATTAAATCTACAAGTTTCACAATCTTCAATATATATGTATATCTTCTTCTACAGACGGAGTTTCAGAGCAGTGTATGGGTTTTCATCAGGAACATGTTCATTGAAATCTGTTAGAGGTGATGATATTTGGTGATCTCTGCAGTAATATTCCTGATTACAAACAGTAATTCAGCCTATGCAAACCATATCTTGGCTCCGTCAGCCCAGAACTGGGGCAATTTCATGAATACAGCATTTTTTTTTCTGCCATCTTTCTTACTTCAGGGTCACCACTGTGAAGAATATATATTTACTGATATTTTAGGATATAAATATATTACAAATTATATAAATATGTTGAGAATTAAGCTTGAATATCATCTCTTGTTCCTGTTTCTTATCAGACTGGCTCCTGGATTCACTTTTACTCCTTCCCAGATGTTATCCTTCCATCTCTTAATGATTCTTAATTTGTAATCTCTACAATATACTTACTGTGAGCTATTCTTATCTATTTTGTTTCGATTTATCTATCTATAAATCGATGTATAGATAGATAGAATCTTAGATACACTAGGATAGAAACCTAGAAATTACGCTTACAGTCCTTTAAGAAGCTTTAGAGTGTCTTCTGATTTCCCCAGAATTCCGTTTTGGAAAAAATCGAGAGATTCACACATTTATCTAACCTAAACCTTTGACGAGATTTTTCAATGGCGGAGCTCCCTAAAATTCCCTAATAACCTTTTTTAGAAATTTATTGCACTGAAGTGTGTTTCATTATTATACGCTCTTTTCAAATATAATGAAAAATTATACAAGTCCAGCCTTTCTCTTCATTTTCCATTCAGGGGAGGGTAAACTTCTCATGGGATCCAGGGAGAGGGGTAATTTGGGAGTAATGGGTTTCGAGTGGAGGGGGTATGATATTGGGGAGGGAGGATATTTTTTCAATGGGTATTGATACTTTTCTCTAGTGAGCCATAAACCAGACAAAATTAATCTTTTTTATCAGGGAGAGAACAAACAGACACATTATACTACAGACATACATACACCTATAGCTAGATAGATATATCGACAGATTATAAATATATAGATATATAGCCAGATAGACATATAGACAGATAGAAATATATATAGACAATTAGATATATATATATATTAGATTTATATATAGTTTATAAGGTGCGCCTAATATATTTATCCGCGGAGTGTGTACTAACATATTTTATCTAGAATTTACACTATATAAATGTGTGTCAATACATTTCATGTAAAGTTTGCACAATATAAATGTGCGCTTAATATATTGTATCTAGAGTGTTCACTAGATAAATGTGCACATGATGCATTTTATTAAGAGTGCACTATAAAAATGTGCGCCTAATATAAATGTGCACCTAATACATCTTATCTATAATGTGCACTACAAAAATGTGCGCCTAATATAAATGTGCGCTTAATACATTGTATCTAGAGTGTTCACCAGAGAAATGTGCACATGATGCATTTTATCAAGAGTGCACTATAAAAATGTGCACCTATTACATCTTATCTATAATGTGCACTACAAAAATGTGCGCCTAATATAAACGTGTGCTTAATACATTCTATCTAGAGTGTTCACTAAATTAATGTGCACATGATACATGTTATCAAGAGTGCACAATTTAAAAATGTGCGCAAAATATGTGCTTAGTCTGGAAATATACTTTCCCCGTTTTTGCTCAGTAAGGTATGTCACGAGCTTCCAGGGGGGTNGAAAGAAATCTAATGCAAAGCTTAGAACAGCAATTTTTAAAATATAAAGTTTGTCACATTTTTCTTTATTATTAAGATCTTAACCCCCCTCCCCCCGTAATGTTCTTAAAGTGCCCCTAAAAGGCTGTTTTGTCACGATAATATTTCTTTAAGTTTCACAAATCATCATCATACATAGATCAAGATACAGGATATATCACAAATAGGGTTTCCAGCGAAAAAAGGAAAATCATTTCGCGAAAATTTCGCATTTTTCTTTAATAAAATTTTTCACGAAATTTAGCTTCAATCTGTTTCGCGAATAAATGTGAAATTTTCGCGAAATAAGAAATGCGAAAGTTTTAATTAAGTAAATATTGAATTTATTCTAAACGGGGCAGCAAAGACAGATCAATCAGTCAAAAATTATGATGGAATTTTTAAAAATTCAGATTTTACGGAAGTCATACCATAAATTTTGCTTGTTTGTTTGTTTGAATGAATAAATATCCAAACAGCTGAACCGAGAAGGCCAAAACTTTTGATATAAAAACGACGATATCTTGCTCATTCATATTTGATAAAGGTTTAACAGCTAGATGTGTTAACCCGATGGTTAGGAAATATTTAACATTAAAACTTGAACAATGGTTTAAACTATAACTGTCTATACAATCTTACCCTGTGAGCCATTCCACAAATCTTTTCCTGTACGGGAAGGCACTTTTTTACATTATTGTTGAGTATTAAACATTTACGAAACATGACAGAATTGGTGAATAGTTTAAATGTCTTCTTCCATAATTTGTTAAGTTCTTTATTATATAAGAGATTAATTATCATTATTAAGAAATATACCATGGCAGTCATTTTATAGTAAAATTGATTTCAAAGTAAAAAATATTTTAGTTATAGATTTTGCTAACGAAATAAACTGCAAAAAGTCTTTAATATCTGATATAATATATGGAAGAAGACATTTAAAACCATTCCCCAACTGTCATGTTTCGTGGGACACCCTGTACCACTATTACCGGGTAAACTATGTCTAGCTATAGCTAGAAGGAACTGTATACAGTTCCTTCCAGGCATAATTCATAAAATCTAATTAATAATAATAATAATAATCTAATCTTTAGAATTATCTACTATTTTGATATGCATAGTTAAACAAATTTAAATCATGAAGAACACATCAAAATCACAATTTACAGATCAAAATTATTATAACAAATATGTATTTGCAGTTCAGATCATTCTGAAAAATTCCAAATTATAGCCTTTAAAGATAGTAAAACCGGTTTTCTTGAATCGATATTTCTTACGAAAACTTCGGATAGATAAAGAAAATAATACGGAAAAATTAGTCTATAGATTTTTGGAGAAAACGTATGTATTTTATAATTCATAACATTTCCTAATACCTATAATGGCATAATCTATAAAAGAAATAAAGTATATTTTTTGGAAATATGAATTTAATTAAATTGTACACTGCGGTTTATTCAAAATAAATCAATGGTTCAGTGGTATATTTTAAATGTATGTATATGTATATAACAGATTGTTTGCAAAAAGTTGCCCTTTGCACCCACCCTNTTTCTTCGTTAAAAATGATATTTTTCCCGAATGAGAGTTTTTTGGTCTTTTTTTGTAAAAATAAATAGCCATGAAATATTTGGGGATATGTACTGTTAAAGAGCTTCATATAAGTATTCAATTAAAAAAAAATAGCTATTTGCGGCATTCCATTATCAGGAGATTTAGAAAACGGCATTTGATAAATGTTTCCTATGTATTCAATATTTAGGGTTTAAAACTGTAAACTTCTTTTTGAGACAGTATATATGTCGTTAGAGTGACAGTTTATAAGTTAAAATCATCATGCACAACCTAATGAGTCACCATGCCAGCAGTAAATATCAAACTAGATACCCATAGAACATGCTTAATTAAAACCAGTTTTCACTGCATCACGGGCAGCTGTAGTACATTTGAATTTCCGAGCAAGGTCAACTTTTCCGGTCCCAGTTTGTACTGTATCGCCCGGACATTGGGTAAATAAAGCAGACACTCAATAGGACTAGCCGGTGCAACAATATTGACGCGGTCAGACTTTAGGTTGAATTTACTTTTACTTAAGGGTCAGAGGTGCGTGGCATACACAGTTTACAGTTGCAAGAAATTATGAACATAAGGAAACACATTTTGAATTCCGTACAGTCGTCTCTGAAGTCTCATCCTTTATGGGTAACACAGAACATAAATGTCGGTAGACAATTTCCCCTGACCATAACTAAATTTAAACAATAAAATTTATTTTTAACCCAATACAATATCAAATTGAGACATTAATGACATTTTTTTCAGATAAAATATTAACTGCTGACTAACACACGTTTAATCAAAAGGAGTTATTTTTAGGAAAACGTGTATTCAATTTATAATTAAATTAGTTTTGAAATCAAAGATATCGAAAAAAATGTCTTTCTATTTCAGAAAATATTGAATTCTTAATTAAGTTAATAAAAAATATTAACTCTATAAATAAAGCAGCAAAACACAATTTTAGAAATGTTTAACAACTATTTTATAATTCAACCGTTTTAAACTAAATTTCTATAAAAATATGAAAAATAAACTTTTCAGTGTAAAAATATGGAAAATATAGTAGTGCTGGAATTAAGTATTTTTCCAAAAAAGTTGCCCGAAACTAGAAAATATAAATCATTTAGAATTCTTTGCTTGACAACTTGAAATAAATATATCACATTAACATTGAAAAAGTAAAATTAAAGACACTTAATATGCAATCACAGATAAGTGTTCCCGGAATATCAAGAAATATTGAGGTAAAAAAATATAACTTTTAATCACAATTATCTTCATTAAATTTATATAAATATAATTTACATATATAAATTATACAATACTAGGCTGCACCCTTCTTCTATTTCAATTGTGAACATGTTCTCTTTACATACATTGTAAAACAAAAACAAAAAAATGTCTCGATTTTATAAAAAAAAATTCGCAAATTTTCGAAATTTTCAAAATTCGAATTTTGTAATAGGTAAAGTTCTGAAAATTCGATCAACCTTAAACCTTCCCTGGGGTCATGTGAGGTCCTACAACAAATTTGGGTCCGATTTTAACGTTTATTGGATACAAACAAACAGACAGACAAACAAAGACAGTGAGCCCCATAAAACTGTGAAATAGGTAAACTACGGTTAGACACGAGAAACAGTCCAATGAACATGAAGCATCGCAATTCTAAAGAGCCATAGATTCATTTGGCACAAAAGTTAATTTTTAGGCTACTACAGTTTAACCAAGAACATCGGAGAGGACGAACAAATTTTACAATGTCGTTTTCTAAACCTGCTGATAATGGAATGCTGCAGTTATTTAATTTTTAAAACTGTTCCTGCATATTTCATGGCTATTTATTTATCTTTATAATTGCCGAGATTTTGGTATAACAGAGTCAGATTAACAGTATAAAACCCATAGAACAATTGTCAATTTCATAAAATCTTTTGAAAGCTCTTAAGTTCTATAGTATAACTATCAGTAACAACGTGAAATACATTAAAGATTGCACAAACATCATCCTATTCCACAGTTTTATGGGCATAACTGTATTTCAATTGACATTTTTATACGCGGGATGTGTCCCGAGTGATATGTCGCCTTTAAAATATAATGCGGAGATATTTCGTATGAGGTAACAACTCGCCATTATTTCTTCCGACCATACCTTTTTTCGCCCGAGCAAAAAAAAATGAGATTTGACGTCATTTGTGGTCGGACGAAAAAATGGTGTGGCGTGCCTTCCCTACCTGGTTATTGTACTGTATTGTAATGTACGTAAGTTGATTTTTACAGGCATGGCGTATTGCCGGGGGATAAAAATCATTAATATAGCTTACTGAAATAAACCCTTAAGAAACATTTGAAAATATAAAAAGAAAAAAAATTATTCTTATGTCTTGTTAGAATTTTATCCCCCTTTACAGGCCCTAAAAGTAAATTCTTTGCCCCTCCTCCTTTTCCGTATTGAAGGAAAAGAGAATATCTTAATTGGTAAGAATGAAAGAAGATATTACCATTTAAATGATCTTGCATAAAAAAATTGACGGAAGACGACATTAGAAATAGATTGGACAAAATTGTACCGCTATTAGATACAACTCCAAGTTAGATGACTCCAAGTTGTTGGAAGACTTCACGTTGATAAAAGACTCCAAATTGCTAGAAGACTTTAAGAAAGAATCCTAGTTCTTCATGTTGTTACAAGACTCCAAACGATTGAGAACTCTAAATATTGGAATGCTCCAAAATGTCAGAAGACTCCAAAATGTCAGGACACTCCAAATGCAGAAAATATTTGCTGCAAATACTGATTTCTGAAATATAAAAAATAAATCAGAAGAATTCTCGTTTTAAAACACAAATGTCAAATGTTGTTTATATAAATTCCCTAATTCTCCATAAAACTTCTTTTAATTGCACGCTTAATGTGATTTACAAAATGCAGTCGATCTTGAGGGTGCATATTTTTTTTAATTGCGTCAAGAGGCAAGTTTTTCATTCCTTTTGATACTTTTTACCCAACAAATTTTTAATTTTCCCCAATTAAGCAAAAAACGCCAACTTACTTATAAAATATCTGGAAAGAAATGATTTTTAAAGGGTAAAGTGGTGGGAATATTTTTTTGAAAAAATATTCATCCCTGGTCAATCGTCTTATTTTTTAAGGTAACTGAGCTAATAAATTATTAACATTTAAGGTTTTATTTAGAATGTTTCAAATTGTTAAAACTGAAATAAAAATGCCAAAAATCCATACTTCATTGCCATGTTTATTGAGACACCACCCTGTGAAATAACTATTTATTTAGACACCACCCTGTAAAATAACTGTTGATTGAGACACCACCCTGTAAAATAACTGTTTATTGAGACACCACCATCTAAAATAACTGTTTATTGAGACACCCCCCTGTAAAATAACTGTATATTGAGACACCACCCTGTAAAATCACTGTATATTGAGACACCACCTTGTAAAATAACTGTATATATAGTCACCACCCTGTAAAATAACTGTTTATTGAGACACCACCCTCTAAAATACTTTATTGAGACACCACCCTGTAAAATAACTGTTTATTGAAGCACTACCCTGTAAAATAACTGTTTATTGAAACACCACTCTGTTAAAATTCAATGGTAATGAGAATCTAGTCTCGGGACTAATCTGCAGACAAACAGAGTCCGGTAAAACGGACGAACTGGAGAAGCTGGACGAATTCAAGGACGGAGAAGGAGGAGAGTCGAATAAATCCCAGTCGTTCTCTCTAAACCTTCAAGTATGAAAATGTAACTATTGAATTTTAAGTGACCGGCCGCGGCTTGGCCCATTCTCGTATTTTTTGCTGAAAATTGTTCCACCCCCCCTTTTTAAAGTGTTAAACAATGCTGTACAATGTGCATTGTAGGGTTTGTCAAGTGTTGTCAAGTGTTGTCAAGTTTTTAAAATCTTAATTTTTTGAGGGAACCCATGGGTGCCCGGGGAGTAACATGGACTAATAAATGTTGACAATTTTTTCTTCAGAAATAATTTTTCGTTAGCTATGAATGGCCAAGAGGCTGGACTCCGGATGGGCTGCATTTTTTTGAGAAAACCCATGGTAATCCCGGGGCCGACCTCGGCTTAAAAAAATGGATATTTTTCTTATTTATTTTTTAAAAAATTCCACGAGCAACGCCTGGCCTTCCAGCTAGTAACTAATAAATACCTTGACAGAAGAGGAAGAATATGTCCGTTTGTAGTTAAAACGTAGTTCTTGCTCTTTCTGGAAATTTTAATAAATTATTAGATTTTTAATTCCAAGGAAAACAAATAAATAAAAAATTTCAAATATTGAAGTGAATTAAATGTGGTCCCCGACCTTGAAACTATAAAATACAATGACTAGATTTTTAACTGTCCATGAATTGAAATGAGAGCAATTGTGTAATGTACACAGAAACATTTCACTTAAAAAGTTGATTTTCAAGTTACTAAACATGTTATTTGCTTTGATACAACATCAAATACACTTAAAGATTGCTTTCATGTCGTCTTCCAATTCCTTAGTTTTATCAGGATCACTGTACATAAAAAAATGACAAAAACACCGGGTTAACCTTAACGTTAAGCTGGATTGATTGCAATCACGCATTTGAAACAGTTCCTTCCCAAGGACAAGAATGCTGATTTTACAGGTCGTCTTTCAATCTTTTCATTGTTCAATGGTATAATATAAGGAATTTAACGGGGTTTGCGCTTTTTTTAAGTCAACGGTTTGCGGATTTTTTAGAGCTGTTTGAAGATTTTCTCACCGATTGATTGGGTTGTCTATATCAAAGAGGAGGTAGAGGTACTTCACAGTTTCAGAGAGAAAGAAACTTTCCTGTCTGTAATCAGAGCCACGGTTGATAACAGTAAAAGAACAGAAAAAAAACCTTTATTGTATCTTTAGAGAAAGCAATTCTTTTTAATTTATCTAGAAGGCCCGGGGGAGGGGGCAGAACTCATGAAGTCTTAAAACCACATAAATTGTTAGACTAAGCATTTAATACCATTTGAATAAACTTTACAAGTCATTTATGAAATATATTGATTGATATTGAAATTTTATCTCGCTTCATATCCTGAAACCTTTTTGGTTATAAAATACTATGTTCTTTTTAACTATTTATACTATTCAGTATTCATTAACCATGATCTTAGGAAGGAAGACGAAGTAAATGTCGTCATTTTATTTCCGCATTTTTAGAAGGTATGGAGGGGGGGGGATATCGTAACAATGGCTCCCTGCCTGTCTTCTAAGCTCATATCTGTGACGTCATGTACAGTTGCGTATCCACACTCAGCTCTGAAATACAGTTGTTAAGTAATTTCTGGGAAAAAGTATTTCCCCCCCCCCATTTATTCATACATATCACCAGTTCCCTCCCCCTCCCTTCTTTAAAAAAATCAACCGCTCCCCGCTCGTCGCCCCCCCTCTTAAACATTATCACCAACTCTTATTTTCTAATATGATCTTTTCAGGGTAAGAAGGAATTCATGGTAAGGTTAGGTTAAGATAGATAGATATTCATTTTCCTGAGATTGAGCAATAGAAAAAGCAGTACTTTTAAACTCTTTCAAATATAATAAAATATATAAACTAGGCTTCTAGAGCGCTTCGGGTCCATCTTCTATTTCAACTTTTAATTGTGGCTTCATCTGTCAGCATCTTCTCTTTATACAGTATACAAAAAAAAAGTTTGCGGACTTCATAACATTTTTTCGCGCATTTTCTAAATTTTACAAAAAATGACAAACTTTTAAAAACAAAGTTTTGAAATTTTGATCATTCATAAACCTTCCCTAGAGTCACGTGAGGTCCCACACAAAATTTGGGTCCGATCAGTTCAGCCGTTTTGACTTTTATTGGATACAACAGGCATACAGACAAGCAAGGGAGAATAAATTAGCGAAAAGTTTGTTTTTTTAAACTTTTAACCTAAACATTTTTTTATATTCAGCCATTAATAAGCCATACTGGAAAAAAGGAGGGATAATATTTATCAAAGTTTACACCAATGGATACCTGGTGTGGTTGTTAAGGCTGTCAAGGATATCCTTCCCAACATGGAGGTAGAACGGGTTTTTCGTAGCCTGGTATAACAGGTAGGTAGACTCTATCAATTCAGGTCTGAAATTGATTTCGAATTTATATCTGAACGCCACAAAATTAGGAACCTTCAGAATTTTAAAAAATAAGTTTGGAAACATTTCTGAAAATATAAGATACTAGCCTTATATGGCGCTTCGCGCCCATCTTCTAAATTAATTGTTCTCTTTGTGTACATCGTAAAACAAAACAAAAATAATTCGCGGATTTTCACAAAAATTTTTGTGGATTTTCAAAATTTAAAAAAAAATGGAGATCGAATTTTGATGGAGACAAATATTTAAAATTTTGATCATTCATAAACCTTCCCTGGGGTCCCTATTTGGGCCCGATCGGTTCAGCCGTTTTGACGTTTATTGGATACAAACAGACAGACAGACAGACAAACAAACAAACAGACAGACAAGCCAAATTTATATATAGATAGGACTTCGATAGAATATCATTCCACCATGTGCAAAAAAAAAAATAAGCATGGTGGAGAACAATTTTTGTGAGGAGGGATTATTGTTTGTTTCATTTCAAGGGACTGCAAGCGTAATTTTCAAGTGACCCTCCCTGCAAAGACGACAATTCCCGTTTCACAACGGAACCCTTGAAACCTTTATCTGATCAATAATGTGGAATCCATTATCGTTTTTCTGTTTTTAAAAGAGTCTAATTCTGATAAATCTTAAAGTTTTTTTTTTTGCAGTAGAAAACCACAATTAAATTTTCCCAATAATAAATATTGACAACTAATTTAAACTTAATCAGAGAAAGGTTAAAAAGGTACCTTTGCCCCTTGAATTTAGGCTTACAGTTCTTTTAATTGTACCCTTGCTGACCATTTGTAAGGACATGAAAAAAATGTTTTTTTTTTCTCTTTTTCAAAATTAGCTGAACTTGATGGATGATGCACGAACAACAAGAAGAAAATGTCTATCCAGTTGGTAGCAGTGTCCCCTGATTCCATTTGTACATTCACGTAAAGAGGATGCAATCCAGCTCCTTTATTGCAGTCAGTCCTTCCTCTAGACATAAAAGAGGTCATTTTATGGAAATACTGTAAATTGGTTTTCCTTTGGTGTATAATATTAAGAAAACGTTGAAAAAAATAAATATCAAATTAAATTAAATAAGTAGATATTAAATTCTTTGTGATTAATCTTAACTTTGTACCCAGTGGCCAGTAATAATTTATAGTAATACATTTAACACTTCCTCATGTCCTGCTTATTTAAGGTTTATACGTCCTCGTGTACTGCTTATTTACGGTTTCTACCTCCTCGTGTCCTGCTTATTTACGGTTTCTACCTCACGTACTGCTTATTTAAGGTTTCTACCTCCTCGTGTACTGCTTATTTAAGGTTTCTACCTCGTGTACTGCTTATTTAAGGTTTCTACCTCCTCGTGCACTGCGTATTTACGGTTTCTACCTCATGTAATGCTTATTTACGATTTCTACTTCATGCACTTTTTATTTTTATTTCAGGTTTCTTTCTCATGTACTGCTTATTCATGGTTTCTACCTCATGTACTGATTATCTACGGTTTCTATCTCCTCATGAAATGCTTATTCACAATTTGTACCTCCTCATGCAGTTATAATTTCTCATGTACTGCTAAATGTACGGGTTTTACCTCCTCGTGAAGGGATTAATGTAATTGTATGGTTTCCACATTCTCATGTAATCTTCATGTACTCCTCATGCTGCTTAAATTGGGTTCCTACCTCCTCATGTACTGCTTAATGTTGTTGTAACTCTCCTCAAACATCTCCTTGTCCTCCTTCAGACCGTACATAATGAAGCTTTTTAGCAGGATCTCGTAGAAGCTGTCAATCCCAGCTCCTAAACCTGAATCAATCAATAAATCAATCAATCAATCTCGTTGAAGCTCTTTAGTATGCTCAAACCCGGTTTCTAAACCTACGCAAAGATATCAATCAAACAGTCAATCAAAAGTCAATTATTAAATCAATCAATCAATCCAGTGGAAGCTGTCATAGCGTCTTATTTTGTTGCTAAAAAAACAGGAAATCGTAAAAGTACAAATTTTTCATTCATAAAACACACAGATGTCTAGGATGCAAATTACTTTTTGTTTCAAGGGAGTCTGTATCAACACTAACTAAATTTAACTGGGGGAAATTTCTAGATAAGTAACCAATCTATTTTCAATGATTTATTTGATTAAAATTATGAAAAATTTCTTTTCGAATGGACAAACAATTGTAGAAATGATTTTAATTACTTCTCCATTTGTAGATTGGCATGTCTTGTTCACAACATTACCTATCAAATATAGTTGTAGATTGGCATGTCTTGTTCACAACATTACCTATCAAATACCTGATGGCATGTCTTGTTCACAACATTACCTATCAAATACCTGATGGCATGTCTTGTTCATAACATTACCTATCAAATACCTGATGGCATGTCTTGTTCATAACATTACCTATCAAATACCTGATGGCATGTCTTGTTCATAACATTACCTATCAAATACCTGATGGCNATGGCTGCCCGTTTCCAGCGGAATCAACCCAAACATTTTAAAAATAAGATTTTAAAAATCCAAAAAAAGGATAATTTTTTATGATCAATCTTTAATATCAAATACCTGATATTTTCCCTTCCCAGACTCCAGAGTTCACATCTACAACATTTCCCATCAATCCTGTTAATTAAATAATTAAATAATTAAATAATCAAATTATCAAATAATCAAAAACAATCAAACAAAAAAAGTAAATAAGTAAATAAGTAAATAAGTAAATAAGTAAATAAGTAAATAAGTAATTAATAAATAAATAAATAAACAAATAAATAAATATATAAATATATAAATAAATAGCTCTCACACTGAAGAAAGTAGAAATACATACTGTCTAGTAAGCTGTTTACCTGTATTTTGATTTCGTAGTTTGTAAATTCCTCTTACTGCTCGTCTTGCATACAGTTCATAAACAGGGTCCCCTGAACAATATATATAGTTCATAAACAGGGTCCCCTGAACAATATATATATAGTTCATAAACAGGGTCCCCTGAACAATATATATATAGTTCATAAACAGGGTCCCCTGAACAATATATATAGTTCATAAACAGGATCGCCTGAACAATATATATATATATATATATAGTTCATAAATAGGATCCCCTGAACAATATATATAGTTCATAAACAGGGTCCCCTAAACAATATATATATATAGTTCATAACAAGGGTCCCCTGAACAATATATAAAGTTCATAAACAGGGTGCCCTGAACAATATATATAGTTCATAAACAGAGTCCCCTGAAAAATATATATATAGTTCATAAACAGGGTCTCCTGAACAATATATATATAGTTCATAAACAGGATTCCATGAACAATAAATATAGTTCATAAACAGGGTCCCCCTGAACAATATATTTAGTTCATAAACAGAGTCCCCTGAACAATATATTTAGTTCATAAACAGAGTCCCCTGAAAAATATATTTAGTTCATAAAACAGAGTCCCCTGAACAATATATTTATAGTACATAAACAGGGTACATTGAACAATATATATAGTACATAAACAGGGTCCCCTGAACAATATTAATAGTTCATGAACAATATTTTCTGGTTTCATAAATGTAACTTGGATAAATAAACTAAATTAGCTAACTAATGAAAAATATGTTTAGTAGAAAATAAACCTGTTAATTTTGAAAGAAGGATAAACTCTAACAGAAGACTCCCAACACCTAAACAACAATTAACATGATGTAGTTATATCATCTAAACCGGTTTTATACCTGCTGAATATGATGTTCTTATATCATCTAAACCGGTTTTAATACCTGCTGAACATGATGTTCTTCAACAGTCTTAACCGGTTTTATTACCTGCTGAACATGATGTTGTTCTACCATCTAAATCCGGTTTTAACACCTGCTGAACATAATGTTGTTCTACCATCCAAACCCGGTATTTTATACCTGCTGTACATTATGTTGTTCTACCATCTTAACCGGTTTTAATACCTGCTGTAAATGATGTTGTTCTACCATCTTAACCGGTTTTAATACCTGCTGTACATGATGTTGTTCTACCATCTTGAGGCAAACCGGTTTTAAGATTAACTCGAGGGAAGGGAAGACCAGTTTCTAAAATATGGTTTTTACGTTTTTAAAGACAACAAAACTAAGACATAAATATGTGTCAATTTAAAGTTAAATTAGTGTTTTGTTAAACAGGAAAATATTTGTTGAGAAACAGCTTGCAAATTTCTTAAAAGACAAGTTATCCGATTTAAGACAATTGAAAATTGTCCATTGCACAGTATCCAGTTCATTGTTCACCGTACAGTATCCCTGGAGTACCTCACACTCTACTGTATTCAGTGTTACAATATACAGTGGATACCGTCTAGGTCACCAGTAGCCTGTGCAATGATCATTGTACTGTTCAGTGTCAAGGGTTGCTCATGCGAATATATAAAAAAAAGTATCTTCAAAAAACCAACTTTTTCGGCCATTATTACCTAAATTGGGTTAAAGTTTGACAAAACTTTAACACAATTTTTTTATAATTTAACTTTTAGAATACAGTTTACAGTGTACACTAAATTGTACCTGTTCTATCAAAAGCCGGAAGTAAGCGATCAGCCAAATCATGAGATAAACTGAAAATATATAAAAATAAAACATTTCAACATCACCTTAGTATAAATAAATTGAAAAAATCCTAGAAAGATAATAACGTAATTAAAATGTTTTTTTTTTCTAATTTCCTAAGAAGGTCGTCTAAATACCAGTCAGGAGCCAGCCCTGGGAAATTAGGATCCTATGAGGAAAGAATAAATTTAAGCTTCTTGTAACAAATTCCTTTAAAAATCTAACAAAATTTGATTAAAAAAGTAATTACATTTCTTTGTAAAGAACCTTTAAGAACTTTAATTTCTAAAAATCAAATAAATTTTCTTCTTTTTTTCCTCCATGAGTAAATGAGCAGAGAGAAGTCCTCCCAACAACCTTGAAACCAATCACATTCTTAAAAACAAAAAAACTGATAATGTTCTTATAATAAAAATACAAATCAGCCTTTCATATGTAAAAATCAAATCAATAGTAAAAATCAAGTCCATATTTACAAAATCAAAACCAATGTTTACGTGGTATAAATCAAGCCAATATCCAGTATCCTTATTAAAAATCAAATCACTGCTTGAATATGATGGGACCCATAAACTGTGAACTACGAAAACGACATTTTAACATTCTTATGCGTATTTGATATTATAAAGCAAAAAGTTAACCGGTTGCTTGAAAACCAACCCTATTTGGTGAAATGGGTTGTGTAAACTGCATAGTGCACAATTGCCTGGTTCATGTTCCTTGGACTATTTAAATCAGGATTTGAGTCAACAGTAATCTTTCTTTTCCAAAGTTTTATATGTCTCAGTGTAAGAGTGTAAGATAAATCTAAAGAAGGTGAATTGATTCCTAATATTAGCCTCGAAGACTTGAACTACGTTAGGTTTGTCAAAATCTACAAGATCAACTATCCGTTGAACTGCAGCTCGAAACTCTAAACAAAGAAACAAAAAATTAAAAATAATTTCTCATCATAAACATATTTTTAAGTATTTAAATAATAAAATACATTGAAGTTCGGTAAAAATATACATAAAAAACACTAATTTTGAAACCCCAGAAAAGAAATCAAGGAGAGGAGGAGGGGGGGGGGAATTATCATTTTTATATCAGCTGCAGTAACCTGAATAGTTTCCAATAATGGCGAGGGTATCCAATGTATCAATTAGAGTCAAAGAATAGTCTCCAAGAACATCATTAATATTAATATTATCTGGGTTCTCATAATCCTAAAATATTATATTTTTAATGTATTTCACGGGTGCAGTGTGCTCTTCTTCCTTCATTTAAGGCTTCATTAGTTCTGAATGAATTTTGTTTATGCTTTTCATTTCATCAGAGCTGGGAACTTTAGAATGGGATACCTTTAATCCCAAATTCTTAATCCGAATATCAAATGTGGACACTTTTAATTTTTTGTTTAATCCACTCTTTTTTGGATATATTACAGAAAATCAAAAATCAAAAACCGGTTTTTTAAAATTAGAGAGTCCATCTCGTTTCAGTAGATACATGGCGCGGGAATATCAAATTTCCCGGCTTCTAACTCTAATTTGATTGGTTGAAATTTATTCACTTTTCAGGATACAAGTACAAGATTAAGTTAGTCTCGATATTAAGAAAAAGAAAAGATCACACATTAATCTCAATTTCCAGCTCTGGATCATCATTAAATTGTTGTAAACAGTGTTGAGGATCCGGATGATCCGCAACATTTTGGCTTCCTGGACGCGGATCCGCAACATTTTGGCTTCCGTGATGCGGATCCGCAACATTTTGACTTCCTGGATGCGGATCCGCAAAATATGTAGATCCACGGATCCGGGTCTAAGGGCATAACCAAAAGCTGTAAAAAACTAAATGCTCTCAACCCAAATCTAATGAACTGTTGAAAAGAGATTATAAAAAATATCCTTATCTCTGAATGGTTCATAAAGTTTTAGCTTAAAAATAAGTGAAAAAAAAAATAAAAATAACTTTACTTAGTTTTTCTTTAACATAAAGTTTGACTTACCGGACCCCTACCGGTGCAGTCTAGAGGATTTAGCTCGTCCAATGGGAAGGCGTGTTTCATATAGTTATCATACCTAGAAAAATTAATATCTACAAATTTAATCTTTAATTCAAAATTATAATTGTTATAAATTCAATTAAATATTATTAAGTTCTAAATTTGAACTTTTGAAGTAAGTAAGAAAAAAAGACAAGAAATATAAAAAATAAAACAACTATTAAAAGGAGTGACCAGCAATTTATGGTAGTTCAACTAAAAATGTAGTATTGTGGAGAAATTTTTTAGGATTCATTTGAGACATATAAAACGTGGTAATGCTGTATAATTACTGAGTTTAAGCGCAAAGTCACGTTCAAAATCATCCATTTGGGTGGTTACAATTTGAGTATCGATTTTTAAAAATTATTGTGAAACGATGACAAAAAATCTAAAAGAATCTACAGTAAACTAATTAGATGTTTAGGAAGATATTTCTCTATCGAAATGTTAGATATAAAACAACTATTAAAGGGAGTGACCAGCAATTTATGGTAGTTCAACTAAAAATGTAGTATTGCGGAGAAATTTTTTAGGATTCATTTGAGACATATAAAACGTGTTAATGCTGTATAATTACTGAGTTTAAGCGCAAAGTCCACGTTCAAAATTATCCATTTGGGTGGTTACGATTTGAGAATCGATTTTTAAAAATTATTGTGAAACGATGACAAAAATGTAAAAAATCTACAGTAAACTAATTAGATGTTTAGGAATGTTAGAATTAAATATTTCTTTTTTCTCATTATATTGAATTTCTTATTCTTTATAAATTTGTTGGCAGATTTCTTCAAATTCTTCAAAACCAATTAACTGAATAAGATTACTTATTTTCTATATGATAATAGTTAATTTTTATTTTCTCAACCTTTTCCTTTACAACTAATTTGTTTGCTGTAGAATTTTGTCGTCGTTATTGAATAGTTTTTTAAAACCGATTCTTAAACTCATCCCTCAAAAATTAACAATCTATGAGGATTTAAAAGATTCAATATTCGCTCTTGGTGAAAAACGTCTCATGGGTCTTAAATGGTTCCCTAAAAACATTCTCCACAATACTTCATTCTCGGTTCAACTACCATATATTGTCGGTCACTCCCTTTAAGCGAAAGAATGAAAAGGTGGAAGAAAAAATAATTTTAATTGCGTAAGTGATTGATTAAAACAACAATAAAAGAATAAAATAAATATTAAATTCAAGAAAGAATAAAAAATGAATGAAAAAAAATGAAAGATTGAAAGGATGTATACAATGTGTAAAAGAGAAAAAAGGAATAAAATAATAATAGGGTAAAAGATGAAAAAAAGAACGAAAGATTGGATGAATGATAAATAAAAAATAAAAAATATTTAAGAAAGGATAAAAAAATAGATAAAAGACTGAGTTATTACCCATGATAAAACATTTCTCTAGTTTGTTCTAGAACTTCTAATCTCAGTTTTTCACTGAAACTTCCATATTTTATCTCAAGTTCAGTCCTGCAAATATAAATAAAATGAAACTTCTAGTCATCAAGTCAAATCAAGAAGGGGTATCTATTTTTCTTGAAACCCCCCCCCATATCCCATCCCATTGCGGAAACAATTTTTTGAGTGTTTTTGTCGTTGAGTGTTTAGTTCAAGTAAAATGATGGCAATTGACAGTCCATAGTTTGTTTGGAAATCCGCCATCAACAACAGAAAAATCCGTGAAATCTTATGTTGCTAGTTTTTAATAAGAGACATAGCTAGGCTATTAAGGGCGCTTCGCGCCCATCTTCCATTTCTATTGTGAACATGTTCTCTTTGTGTACATTGTAAAACAAAAAATGTCGCAGAATTTATAAAAACATTTCGTGGATTTTCAAAATTTTCAAAAATAGAATGTTGTTAGAGGCAAATTTTTGAAAATTCGATTATCCATAAACCTTCCATGAGGTCAAGCGTGGTCCCAAAAAATATTTGGGCCCGATCGGTTCAGCCGTTTTAATATTTATTGGATACAAATGGACAAAAAATACAAACAAAGCATAAACGTAATTTATACTTGTGAAGAATTATTTAAGAGTAGAGTGGCGCAAAGGGATATGGACATAGAGAATAGAATATATAGAGAGGAATTAAAAGAATCTCTCGGTATGAATTTTTTCAGTCCCTTTCAGCCTGAAAGGGAGTTCAAAGTGTACAAATCATGTAAATGTTCACAAATTATATGCAGTAGAGTACATTAA